AATAATATTGCTATCTTAATTAATATAAAAAAATGAATATGACAGTCTTTGTCATACATTTATTTGTTTGGGGTCTATTCAGAGGCACAGTTTGTTATGCCTTAAGCAGGCTCTGTATGTCACAGCTTAACACTACCTAAGTGGCTTTAAAAAACAAAGCTGTAACTTATATTTTCCAGAGGGAAGTGAGTTTGGCTTTTTGCTCTTTTAGAATGTGGATCATTTAATTAATTTTTTAGTCAGACCAACAAAAAGAGAGTATTATAGTTTTTCTGTAATCTGCTTTCGCCTACTATGAAGATCTAGATCTATTAAATGACATCTACAAGCAGTAGGTCCCTCAGAGTTATCCTAGATTTATCAGAAGTTACAATAATCACCGAAAAATGGGGAAGATAAAGATAACATGAATTAATCAAATAATGAACTAAAGAGGCTAATAATATTCTAATATGATATATTGCTGTAAATAACTGAAGTATGACCTCTTTAAATTAAATCCTTAGCTAATGTTATATGAAAGAAATGGGTTCATTTAGGATTTGCAGAAAGAAAAGCTAAAAGGCTACAGCGAACACCTCAAATTCTCTTCTGATTTCCAAAGTTGGATATTTGAATTATCCAAAGTCATCTTGGATTACCCCTTTTTTTATAAGGTAATGGTCTACAATAATATGCAATATCAAGACAAATATTTGGAAATGGGTTTATTACAGAAAAAACATATCTGCGTAGGTTTAGAAAATGAAGATGAATTAAACCATAGATATAGGTGTTTCTTTAAAGATTTCAAAGGTGTCAGGACTTCACTTTGAAAGTCAGACATCAAACATAACTTCCAACATTTTTGTGTCTTAAGCAAGGTAAAGGGCACATTGCTTGATGATATCTTCCCTATTTACGAGAGATGAAATCAACTGACTTTGAAGATTGGGCCCCACATGTTTTAGTCGGCCTTATTGTCCTGAAACCAGCTGCTTCTCCTGTTGTATGTCTTCCTTTGGAGTTCAAGCTGCAGGAGAAAAAAAAAATAATTAATCTTATTCTGATTTCATGTGGTCTTAAAATAATTATACTCCAGTTTTAAGTAGGGAAGAAGGCAGTGAATTACATAACATTAATATATATTATCTTTTCTTTTTAAATATAAATATTAATTTTCTTCTACATTAAATACTGGGGGGAGTCTGCTGGTCTTGGTATATTTCACAAATCAGTTACTGTTTACCTTAATTGATTTATTATTACGTACATGAAATGAGTACTGTCAGTGTGTTTTATCTATAAATTTCAGTGTTTCTGTTATGGTGCTCTGCTCTCCTTCAACTTCTAGTTTAGTTTCTTTTTGAGTTTTCTGTTAGATATGTCACTCTGTTTTGTTGATCTTTGGTTTCCTCTCCATTGCCTGTTATATTTAAGCAGTGTTGTATTTTTGGAGTTACTCTCTGTCACCCCCTTGTAACAGTCTCCTTTCCCCTAGCTCGCTTCTGGTTACTTCTATCCACACCTGCTCCATATCAGTTGATCAGCCCATTCTTTGTTCCGTCCCTCTTATATACTGTACACCTCCTCTGCAGTCCCTTATTATTGGTTTCTTGTTGTTACATCGCTCCCCATGTGTTTTTTCCCCTGAAGTGTCCTGGTTTTTGGTTTCCTGTATATTGGATTTTGTTTCTGTTTCTTTTATCATTAAATAAGCAAAACCCCTCTTTGCCTCTTCATCTGTGCATTTGGGCCCTAAACCAACCTCCACTCTCCATTAACAGTTTATAATTTATACAGGATAAAGGCAACCAAATTTAGATGATTTATAAATACATCTAAAATAAATAAATAATTGAATAATTAATTCACATGGGTTATATAAAAGAAAACATATTCAACATTAATAAACATTACAACAAACAAGTTAAAGTAAAACATGAGTGTATGCACATGAACAAAGGTTATATGTAAACATTTTAATAAACCTGTTTCAAAGGTGATAGAGACAGGACTAGCCTGGACTCAGAGGGGTTCTCAGAGATGGGAATTTCAGTTTTTTTTTTTTTTGGGAAAGATCGCTAGATTTGCTCCAGCATCCATGTTTACTTCCATAAACATAGAGCACTCTCGCTTGTGACATATTTGTGTTCTCTACTGCGTATTTGGGACACTTAAGTTGTATGAATGCAGTTTACATAGGAGATCATATACAAGTTGCATATATTTGGAAATGTGAACAGCAACACAAAGAAAGTGGTTTAAGCCTCTCTCCCACAGACTTCCACTCTTGGTCCCTGAGCAAGACCCTTAACCCCACACTGCTTCCTGGGTGCTGCACAATTGCACTTTCGTCGCTATATTTAGAACGCGCCCTTCCTATCTTTGCCTAGGGCCCCAAATGTCTTAAATCCGCCCCTGTTTGTTAATGTCTAAGTTCTCTGCGGGACCGGAGATCTCTGATGGTGGGTGCAGCAGCTGGCTCCTGATCATTCAGACTCGCAATCTACTGGATAATCACAGATTGGTGAATTTAAGGAGAAGTGTGTGAGCCTATCTTTGCCTGATGGTCAACCAAACCAGTAGACTCAAGCCTCTAGTCTCCTGAGCAGCCACATAATTAAATTGATTTTCTCTAACTTTGCACTTCCTTCGAGTTATCCTCTTGTTTTCTTATGTGCCTGCAAAGTCAGGGACCATGATTGCCTTCTTTCCTACAAAAAGCTCTCTACTCATGAGTTTTACAATCAGCTCCAATCCTCTCCAGTGAAAGTCTGCCTGCCCACTCTCAGAGAGTCACAGTTCAAGATGCAAGACTGACAACCTCAGACTCCTTTATCTCCGGACAAGAAGATCTGTTGCCAACTTTTCAGCACTCTGGTCCTGCCAGTAATTCCAGCTTGGTAAGCCAGCTAACAAGATTCTTTGATCCTTTAATTATTATCCTTTGATCTCCCCCTTCACTAGATGTCAACCGAGCCTGCATCCGAAGCCGACTTATTTTCTATACATAATTTTTATAAAAAAATGAAATAAAACAAAACAGTAAATGCTTACCTGAGTCCTGTAAAGGATTTCTGCATACAAGCATGAAAAGATTCCTAGATCCCAGTCAAGACCATCAGCCCAGAATGGTCCAGCAGAATCACATGGAACATCCAATTTCAAACAGCTAAAACAGATCAAAATGCATAAAGCTGTGTTATGATCTTATGTGTTCAACATTTCTTTCTGAGTGCAGTCAGCTCTGGGTTCGCTTGGTTCCCCGCTGGTAGAGCAGTGCATTACCTGGACCTTCATCAAGCCATCACTAAATCCGAAGTTTTCTTCTTACCATCCCACAGTGCAATTAACCTCTTCCCAGGAACCCCTACTCCTGTCCAGTCATCTATAGAGACCCTCCTATCCTGAAAGGCAGAGCATGGATGAGTCCCTATCCACTTCTCCTTTCTTTTTAACGACTAACAAGGACAGGTCTCTCTGTCACCTGATTTGGTTATCGTGGACTCAATCATATGAGAGTTAAAAATCAATACGCTCTGCTACTTAAGGTCTTGAACCTGTCCATTTGGGATGCTTTCCATCTTGACAGAATACAAGAGGGAGAATATTGGAGAACTGCTTCTGCTTGTTCTAACCAACGCCCCAGCGGTTTCCAAGTCACAATCAAACAAACAAACAAACAAACAACCTTATATTCACTAAGACCCTCATTGAACACAAGTTTAATGTTTGACAAGTTCTTCAAAACTTCATATAAAATAAATTATTTGTCACCCTCCTCAGCTCCTTAAGAGTTTGCAGATAAAGACTCACTAGATTAAAGCTGCCCTCGACTGCTCCTTGAAATGATTAAACATGAATTCAAAGACACTTTTAGAAGAACTGTATGTGTGAAATATCAGGTTATTCAGCGTGGCCACTGGCCTTTGGGCAGAGGTGGATAATCCAGATCCACAAAGTAAAAAGTTTGTGCAGAGACTAACTCCAAACATTTGCAACTACGGCTTCAAAACGCTATAACTGGGATTTTTGGAACCCTTAGTGGCTAAGGTTTACACTGTTTTGCTTTTTAGAGTAACAAAAACAGACAATAAATAAATATATAATAAGTAAAATATAGATGCACTTAAAAGTATTTACATTTGTCATGGTTTTGGTTTTGTTCAAGTTTTATCTCTGAGTTTTAATTGGTCTTATTTCACATTTTGGTTAAAAAAAATTTTTTTTTAAATGTATTTGAGTTCTTAGATATTTCCTGTTTGTCCTCTTGTATCAGTCTCCTTTTCCCTAGCTCCCTTCTGGCCTCCTCTGTTCACACCTGCACCCAATCTGCTAATTTAATGGATATTCTTATATGACAGGACAATAATGCATAACTGCAAAGTTTAACCTACATGTCCACTTACTTGACAAGTCAGTGAGAGAAGTCTTTGTTTCTCTCTCCTGCTGTTCAGTCACTCTTTGCTGGTTTGTCATCATTACTCTGTCCCCTTCTTGTATTCCTGGTTTTCAGCTTCTTTTTTTAATTTCTCTTCTGTTTAACTTTTGTTATTAATCCTTAAAGTAACTACTTAGCTTCTGTTTCTGCAGTGGGTCCTGCCAAACCTGCACCCCCACTGTGACATTTATGCAGTTTCTTTTTTAAATCGTTTTTCAACACTTCTTAAGAGTATACAACTGTATAAACGTATATGGTATCGGGCTTCTTGTTTTCCATTTCACAAATAGGAGGTCATTAATGCTAATCATCTATTTTACGCACGTATTTCTATATTTCAGCTTTTTAATGGGGAATAGCTACTGTGCGAAATACGCACAAACACATTACATTTAAAGATGTGCCAAACCTCAGAAAATAAATATAGGATCTTCAGCAGAGAGAAGCAGCAAAGGCTTAATAACTTTTCTGTGACTCCCTTCAGTTGTTGTTGGACTCTGATTGGAGCAGAGGGGCGTGTTCCCCGCAGGAATGCGGCGCTCAGGTGGAGGGAGAGTCTCCAGCGGCACTCTGCGCGCCCACAGGAGGAAGGACCTTCAGCGCTGCGCACTCTGCGCACTGAGTCGCCAAGAACGGAGACGACTGATGAGAAGAAACGGATGAAACTACTTTCTGATGGACCAAATGGTTTAATTTGGAAACGGCTTCAATAAAGTCTGTTTCTTAATTCAGATCATTTGCTGATGACTCACAACCCGTCTTGCAACAAGCTACTTCTTGCACCCGGTTGCCCTCAAGAAGATCTCTATTTTTTTTTTTTTGCAGACATTGAGCATTTCCTGAAAGACTAAAGTGATGTGAGGATCTATGGAAGCTGACAGCGTGGCTGGATAAATGGATGAGCTCTGAAGCTGAAGGAAAACGTTGATAAAAAAAAAAATCACTATCTGCTTTTCAAAGACTGAGTGGATCAGGACTTGGAACATCAGCAGAGAGGCGATGGACCTTCTGATCGGGTCTGGACCCATGTGTCTGCTCACCCTGCAGCTGGGATGCACCGTGCGTCAGAGCCGCAACATTTCACATGTTGAAATTTCATCCAAACTGCACCTGACGCGTCTCCGTCTATTTTAACTGAAAAGGACTGACTATGTCTCCGGTGCAGAACAGGTGAGAGAACCACCTTTAAATGTACATGGGCTCAAAGTTTTTCCTTCAGAAACATACTTGCTATGGGAAAAGCTTATTTGTTTGGAGGTGACACATTCCAGCGACTGTATATGGAGTGTCTCATTAAGAAGGCAGCCTTTAAATATTTACCTTGACGTATTTTCTTTCCTTACAAGGAACTGCAAACCCTTGAACATTTGTTGCAGTACAGTGAAAACATTAGAGGTGGTAAATTCCAAGGACAGTCTGAGTTTTTTGGACTTCAGTATCTAGACTGCATCATTATTTAAAACTTTTCATATCCGCAGCATGATGCTGCCACTGCTGTGTCATGCCAGTGCATGGTGTTAGTTTTATTTCACAGCATTTTGCAGAATTCTAATCCAACTTCTCCAAAAGTACCTGTGCTTCTCTCACTGACTTGTCAAGTAGGTGATCATGTCATGGGTTACATTTTGCAGTTATGCATTATTGTCCTGTCATATAAGAATATCCATAAGATACATGAACTTTTGAGTTTTTATCAGGACATTTTCTAAAATAAAGAATGAAAACCTATTCCTAGGCACTACCTAGGTTTCTTTAAGGACAGAAGCTTGACCCAGCATTCCTGTGGATTGCTCCAGCGGGAGCGGGTGGAGTAATCCTCCTTCCATATCAGGAATATTACCACTCCTCGCTCTACACGTCCGGCTCTACCTTTATCTCTCCAGTGTCACCAGCTATAAATACTCTGCTCATATTTTATCTGATCCCAGTCCCACAACTGAGAACACTGGCAAAACAGACTGAAGAGAAGTTAAGCCTCTTCAACTTTTTACAATATATGTCCTGAAGGCCAAGCCTTACTTTAAAGGTTGTTTCTAAACCTCATGCAGAGCAGTTTCATTTGATGAGATGTGTCAGAGACATGTGCATCCTGACTGTAGGCTTGTCTTAATGGAGCTGACTGATTCACAGAAGCAGAAATCTGGCTCTAGGCGCTTTTTCTGATGACTCTCAGGAGGAATGTGTCTTAGATCGAGCCATCAGCCTCATGAGCAGATTTAATCTACTTACCTTGGAACACTGAGCATATAGCTTCAAAGGAGTCTGATTTGATGTTATACACAATGATGTCACTCTCTGCTAAAGGGAGGAATTACAATCCGTTTTCCAGCCTGTGGATGCATTTTGTGTGCACCAGGTATAGACATAGCTTCTTTGGAAAGTGATTCATTTATTGCAGGGTAGTAAGATAGTTTAGGACACAAAAAATAAAATTCAATTCTTCTTTCTTTTAAACATGTTTTAAGTTTTACAAAGTTTCCAAAAGGAAGTCTATTTTTTGCAGATGAACCTTAAAGCCATATGTTGTAATGGACACCAGATGCAGGGTACAACCCCAACACAACCACAGTAAAGTTTAGCTGCCATATTATAGCCTGAGGAAGCCCAAAGTCAGTTGTGCTGACTTTTTTTGTTGCAGCTTTAACTTCAAACTCTAATATTCATTGCATGTATTATCTTCACCTAAAAAAATGTAACAGTATTAGTAAAGAAGATGCACACTAAGTATTTTGTTCAACCACAATTTATTTTAACATTTCTTTCCCCACGTGCAATGATGACCATCGAAAATGCAAGTCCAATGATGTTTAAAAACAAGAATGGGGTTCACAAGTTTATATTTATTGTGAATTCACACAATCAATACACACATACAAGCCAGTTCAGTTTATTGTTCCCTTGCAAGTTTCTGGATCAACATCTTTTTATAGCCTTCAACTAGGATATTTGAACACCTTTATTGGCAGAATCTGTAAAGTTAAACTGGTTATTTTCTGGATATTGATTTGACTTTTAATCAGATTGAAAACTTTAATTATAGGATTGCAGTCAGACCAATAAGAGGGCCAGTTTCCTCAATAATGCAGCCGCTTTTGGCATTTACTTAATCATATTTAGTTACTTTAACACAATTTTTTTATGTCCTACCCTGCTAACATGAAATAATTGTGTTAAACCATTATCCTACTGAAACACCTAACCGTGTTTAAGTTTGCGCAATCTGAATGTGGATTTAAGATTTTATGTGAAAGAAATAGCAGGTTGTCCTCTTTCTTTCTGCATCAGTAGCAATGAAAGTAAACTAGCCACAAAACAATGTTTTCATCGTTATGCTTAACAGTTGGCACAATGATCTGTTTCTTGCGGCCAACCAGCATAGTCATCTCTTAGTATACAACTTTTTCCCAGAAGGCATTTTGCTTTTTCAGTCAAAGGTTTGAGTTTTGAAGCATGTGCATTGTTCAGACTTTATAAACCCTCTCAGTCTGTGACATTCAATGGTTTTTACTGTGGGCAGTGATATCTATGTTGCTTTGGCTTTTCCTGAACATTTTACCAGAACTCTTTCATTTGAAACTGGTTGGACTGAGTTATCTCAAACTCCCATCAAAATTAATTCTTGATGGATAAAACCAACTTACCTTTTTGCAACACAAAGACATCAAGGCCTGGACATCAACTACTTTAAGCTTACAAATTCTACCTGGAGATGTCAAATATTCAGTCATAATGTAAATTAAATTAATAAGAGTTTGGGTAATTGCGATTTTTTTTTTTTTGTGCACGTCTAATTCAGTCTGTGATGATTAGAAATAAAATCGCAATAAATTCAAACTTGGGCTCTCAATTCTTTTATTTTTTTTTTATACAGATGTTTGAGTCGTAGCCATTCCTCTATTTAAAAAAAAAAAGAACAATTTACGTTGCTGTCCATAGAGTTACATCCTGAATGTTTTCATAAGGGATCAAACAGATCAGAAATACTAAATTATCTAATCTTTGTATTTGGCTATTGTATTTACAGTCGGCCTTATTCTCTCCTTAAGTGGGCTTTTCGGATCAGGTTACCACGCTCTTGTTATTGCATGTATCTTTGGTTAGCTCCCAGTTTAAGAATTAGATTAGTTTGTGTTTAAGAGACTTAATGTCTAAGTTTTTCTGTATTGGTTCTCCTGTATGTTTTTCACATGCATGTTTCAGACCTGGAAACTCCAATGTTGCTGCAGATTACACTCACTCCTTTAGCCTGTCATTACATTTTGCCAGTAAATAGTTTTTCTTAATTTCTTTCATAATTAACCATTTTTAAAATCTAGGCAAGTCAGAAAACCATATAAAGCATCTAAAATAATGAGTTAATAAACTCAAGTTATTTTCCAATCTGAACTGGGAAATTGTATAACTCACCAGTTTGATGAGATCTGCTACAGAAGATTAATTTAATATTTTTGGTTCAAATTAGATTATGTTCTCCACAATCTGCAAATTTCTGTCTATTATTTAAAATGTAATGAAGTGCCTAAAGCCAGAGTTAGAAAATAGTTCAGAGTTCATATTGACCTAGGAAAGTGAACCAAACAATGACTAAGTTTAAATGGCAATAACTGATCTTAAGTATCAGACTTAAAAGCAAGAAATTTAGGTGATCAGGTCACTAACGTGGCATTGACTAATCGGTGTCAAGAAATACCAATTGGTTAGTAATTATGCTGATAAAGCTCTCGTTTCAAGGTCCATTCAGATAAAACTTTACAGCTCTGTGTTCGTGCCTACCTGCACAGCTTCATTTAGAAGAAAATGTGTGGATGTTGCTGTCCTAATGCTCCTGTTCCAATCACTTAGTTTGAATGTTTTGGATTTGTTTTGCCTGTCAGCAGGACAGCTTTTAAACCCTGCAAAATATTTCTTTATCAAATATGACGGATTTGTTGGATTCTTGCCAGTGAGCAATCAATCTTGTTCCCAAGGGACCTCTGTTGTTGAACTTTAAGTCTGTGGTAGCTGTGATTACAAATATGATGCATGTTAATCTTGCTTGGTAACCCAGTTTATTCTGCATTGAGGTCTGTTCAATTTAGTTTGTTTTTGCTCTTTTATTAATATAAAATGTGTATGAGTGTATACGTTCTTTGCACATCTCCCTGTTTCTTATGTTGCAATAGTGTGATTGCAGATGACCATGGAGTCTCTGATTCAGTTAGTGCTTGTGAGAAGATAATCTCATAATCCCTGAGGTATGATGTTGTACCAAGGCTGTGCTCTTTGCCATGAAAGGAGCAAATTAGGGAAAGTAAAGGATAGAAAGGTGAACAATGTGGAGTTGAAATCTGGATACTTATGTATTCATAAGGATTTATAAAAGATCTCTTTAGAGCACTGCTTTTTGGCCCTGATAAAACAAGCTGCCCATTACTGGAACCTCTAGTGTGATCTTAACAGAATTATTAAAAACAATGTGTATTTTGCAGTCAGCTTTCCTCCTCTAAGGATGGAAACTCGCATGAAACCTTTCCACAGAATTTCAAAACAATTTTTGGTCTTGACAATTCTGACTCTTGAATATGCCTTTATCTAAACCTTCCATTATACCCTGACTGTATGGTTAAGGTTGCTGTCCAGATGGAGGGGGAACCTCTACCCCAATCTCAGGTCTAATTGGCTGCAGTGTTCTTTTTTAATCTTACCAAGCACCTTGCATGCATGTCAGCAGTTCCTTTCTGGCCTCATCTGATCAGATAACCTTCTGTGTCTTCTGCAAGGCTTGTGGCAAACATGATATGGGACTTCTCTGGGATTTCTTTCAATAATGACTTTCCTTTTGCAACTATTAAACAACCAGGTTTATAGAGAGAACAAGGTAGCTATTGATAACCATAGATTTCATGGTTACTTCTCTGAGTGCGTTTAGGTGGACATCCATGTCTTGGTAGGGTTTTCAGTCAATGCTCTCTAGCTAGGAAGGAACAGAGCTCTATAAGATGTTCCAAGCTTGGTATATTTTCAAGAACTTTGCTCCATTTAAATTTTTTCCTCATCTTTCTCCTAGACCTTTCTGCTGTGTTCCTTTGTCTTTGTGTTGCTGTTGTTCACTATTGTTCTCTATAGAATCTCAGAGGCCAAAAACAAAACAGATGCATTTATAATATGATTATTATATGCAGGTGGTCTAC